GATTGGGGTGCATGATTTGAAAGTCACAAAGAACCAATAAAAGTTTCTTTAAAAAGAAAAAAAAAGGAACTGCTTTTCCTGGTGCAGGTTCTTGAGTCTCTTTACAATGAACAGAACTGAGATACATGGATATTACAAGAAAGGAGATAATTTACTACAGGAGAAATACAGCAGTGGGGGATGGGGGAGCTTGGAAGCATGCCAGACTTCACTGTGTTTTGGTTCTAAAAGAACAAAAGGGAAAGGCAGGGCTACATGACCTCATATGGGTAACTTGCATAGTTCTGACAGTGTTCCCTTTAGTGAATAGAGTCCACACAAACTAAGAGCTTCTGGTCTTTCTAGCTTTGAATTTGTTGAACCAGTCCAGAGGCACAGGGTCCTACAGGCAGTAGCAAAATCTCGCCAGGCTGGTGTCTGTACAGTGAAGATCATGAAGAATGGTAACACTTTAAGGTCACTGTGTGGTGAATTCATGACGTCATCAGGCTTAACTTGTTCTACTGATGGTCTGCTGTGGCTGTTTCAGGAAGTTCCCTGTCCTACCTCCTCCTCCACTTTGTTCTCTATTCTTTACATTGTTTGGAGAGCATGACAAAGACATAGGCTAGGGTACGACGCCTGATGAGGAAAGTGTTATAAATATTTCAAGGCTTCTGGTGGTTATTAGACAGCCTAAAAATCTGAAACAAGCAGAACAGGCAAGTACTTACCAACTCAACTGTAAAGCTCTTGTTAAAACGTGAGCTGTGACACAGTGGGTCCACAAGTCTCACAAAGTACCTGATACCACAATCCTGCTGGGCCTGAGCACTTAAGTACTAAGTACAGCTAATAGAGGTAATTGTGCCATTTAAGTCTGAAGTTAAAGATGCAGAAGAGGAAGCCAAAAAGCTGTTGAAGTAAGGAAGACCGAGCCAGGGACAATGGGTATGGAGGGGGTGCTATGTAATAAAATCAGAAAATACCTAAAGCAAGTGGGGATGTGGCACACTGGTTATGTGGTGAAAATGGAGTGAGAACAGATAGATGAACAAGGGTCTACTTGGAATAGCTGACACAGCTCTGATGGCATTATGCACTCACCACAGTGATTTTAAAGAGTTATCGTATGTATCAGCTTGTCTGTCTTTGTTCAAACTGGCCAACCCCAATTTAAGGCAGGAAGACCACCACAAAGACCCATAAGACCCAAGCCCTCAGGGTAAGACCTGACTTTGGCTTCCTCCATACCCTCTGTGCTTCCCTAAGACCCATTTCTCTGTGCTCGGTGTATATGTTTTTTCCTTACCCTTAATAAAAGCCTTTTATTCTGGCTGATTGTTGGCTGCTACCGTCTGCTGTGTTTGAGAATTTCTCTCTTGATCCCTAGTAACATTTTTCCCACTTTTTAATTTTTCACCTGGCAAAAATAATGAATTTGAACAAGATTATAACACTTCCATATTAAAGACTATATGATTGAAGTTAAAAAACAATTATTCCCCTTCCCTACTGTCTCAGAGTTGTTAGACACAGGATTCTTTTGAGATTATAAACTCACGTCTCTTTTTTCTCACTATAGCACATATTTCCGTGAGAATTTCTTTACTGATTACTCCCAGATGCTTTATTTAGTCTTCCCTTGTGGTCTAGTCCTACGGAATAAACATCTTTGGAAAGGGCTTGTAATGATACACTCACTCCTCAATGAAACATGAGAGGAAGTTTGGAAGGGCGTAAGTGTATACTGTACTTTGATAATAAAAAGTCACAGGAAAAGAAAAGGTTCTGCACATACTGCAAGCTGTGTGGAATGCAAGGCTTGACGAGCTGCAATGAGCTTGCACTCTTAGGACCCAGTGTCTAAAGGTGAGCTACACCTTAGGGTGGGAAGGGTCCTTCTAGCATGAATAAGCCACTGAGTTAAATGCTGGTGGAAAAGTAAATTCTGAAGATGTCTCAGATAAATGAGTTTTAAAATGTATTGTTTCAAGTTTTTTTCTGCTTGCCTACAGTTTAAAATATCCTGATGTGGACCATCATGGTATAATATGTGTGTCTATAAGTATATTCATTGTAAAAAAAATAGATGGTTTTGTCTTTCTCTTCTCTTTCCCTTAGTCCATCCCCTCCTCTGCCTGTTTTCTGTACCCCTTCCTCTTAGGTCATTTTTCCCCACTCTCTTCACCTTGGAGCCCACCCAATTCAAACATAAAATCCATATCTTCTAGTTCATGAGAGCAAAAGGATCAAGGCTATTTACTGGAATCTTCCTTGTCCATTATTGTAATTCATATTTGTTTTGTTCTGAGTCTTTAGCTTTTACATATTTACAACTATGAAAGGAACAATAGGTATGATTTACTCAATGCTAAATCCGTTCACTCATATTGAGAATTCCTCCTTTACAACATATAGTATGCAAAATTATCAAAATTGAGAGCATACATGTGGAAATTAAGAGCCATATACATACAGCTAAGAAAGTCTTTATTAAATTTTATAGTAAATAAAATCTAAAAATGTAAAAAGAATATTGAATTCACTAGAAAATTACCAGATTAAATTTGTTTGCTCTGAGTTTGTGAACATGAAATTTATAAAATTTGTAATTTTCAGAAAGCAAAATTATTTCTGCTTATTGGTTTGTTGAGCTGTAAGATCAAACCCAGGTGCTTACACATCCTAGGTAGAGTCATCAACTACTTACCAACAGTCCTAGCTATAACAGCAGCAGCATTACATAGCCATGATAAATGTACTTCAAGTTGCAGGATACAGAATAGTCTTAACTTAAAAATAGATGTGCAGAAAGATTATTTCTATTCACATTTCAACAAAAGTTGTGTTTGCCTTGTCATGCTTAAGCCTTTCTAGGTAAAACCAAAGCAAAATTTGGTATCAAAATACGTGTGGGTGAGTTTTTTTGTTTTGGTTTGGTTTTGGTTTTTCCAATGAGTCATGCAGTGACTGCAAGTTTTCCTGGATAGCTGAAATAGTTGAAAAAAATCTTTTTAAGAAATTAAGACAGTACAAGGAGTAAGGGAGGGAGGGAGGGAGGGAGGGAGGGAGGGAGGGA